CCCCAAAACCCCAAAACCCCAAAACCCCATGAGATAAATTTTGTCGGAGTTTAATTGACATAAAAATTAATTGGAAACAATTTTCAAATTCTTTATTTATACTATGTGACTAACTGTTTTTCTTTTTATTTCATTCCCATACTTCCTCAAATTCTTCATTTTTGCTTTTATTTTTCTTAGGTAATGAGCTAATGGTCTTAAAATTTGCACCTTTTTATTCTTTTTGAGCTTGCTTGATTGATGCTTCTAAATCATCATCCCAGTTAGCATCAAAACTTTCCAACACAGTATCTTATTTTGGTGGATCAATCGGCTGATACGATGACGATTTCTAGACTCCATTATCATTATCCTTCTGTCTACTATGATGAGATTAATTATTGATAAGTTGAAGTTGCTCAAACTTAGACTTATCGACATTAAAGAATGGTTTTTAAGTTTGGATATCTTCATCTATCTCATTACCCCAATTATTGTTTTAGTTAATTTAAGCAGGCATATGATTAGAGTATCTACTTTTTTATGGACTAGTAATATAATTGTCTTTGGTATAAGAAGAATTTTCAAATTGATTCCTTTATTTGATGTTATTGGAAGCATTTGCTTTGCTACCATAGAATTAAGAGTAATTGTTGTGATTTACAAGTTAAATACCGCCTGATATATTGAAGTCTTAATTCTGGTCTTAATTGATGGCAGCTGATTTTTGCAAAAATGTATTACCATTTTTGAGATTAATTTTATTTTACTTATCCAGCCTTTCAATAAACTAAGCATCTCTTTCTCTCTCAATAAGAGTATCGATTGTGCTCCCATTAATCATGTTTGAAATATTACTTTAGATCTGATTTATTTTCTTTGCTTCAACATTAATAAGTTCTGGTTGCATACTTTGATTTTATTAAAGCTTAGGTTAAACTATGCTTTTTAAATGTGCTAGATGAATGGAATTCGATCTTCCTCCACCTATTTTTGGAATAAATTTAATTTCTGGACTAGTAACATTATTAAATTTATCCTAAAGATCTATTTTTGGAAGATCAGGCTCATTTTTTTCAATGAAGCTTTCTCCAGGTATATTATCGTGATCCTCATCAACTATTATTTCCTCTTTTTTTTTACGAGATGACCTGTTTCTTAGCAGGTTTATTGTATTTAAATTTGAAGATTCCCCATCATTATCTATGTCCTCTGCAATTAACTTATTTTCTGCTCTAGATGCTCTCAAATCCTAAATAGCAATATCTTAGTTTTACTTAATCGAGGTAGACTCATTGCGAGGTTATTCAATTTGATTGGTAAAAATCTGCACTTAATCTTCTCCTGACTAAGAACCTGCTGTATTTTAACTAGTATTTTTATTCAAGCCTATTAATGTATAACTATCAAGAGCACTGTTTACCATCATTCTGTTTGAAGTGCTTTTGCCTCTTTATACTTTAACCTTCTTTCTGCTAAAAGTCTTCATCTATTGATCTGAGAAAGTGTTGTGCTCCAAATCATTTTCAATTTATTGTACATCTGTTTTAATTTTCATGGGATCTTCAATCATTATGTTGTTACCACCTTAGTCAGAATCTTTTCTATTCTCAAAGTCTTATCTATCTAAGGATTCTTAAGCATCGCTTGATCCAGGCTAATTCTGTTAATTTCTTTTTAATTTCTGTTTCAGTTATGTACTAAGTAAAGCGTTTTAATTGTTAAGGACTAAAGGAAATTTCGCACTTTATCTATCCACACTTTTTTTAATCACTCTCTTCCTAGGAAACTTAGGACTCTCATTCGCATTCATCTCACTAATCTACTAGTTTTAATCAATTGATTTTAAATTGGCGATAGAGCCATTATTTCCTTGCTTATCGATATCACTGATGACTACATCATTGACATTCGATGTTTGTAGCTGCGCCATATATCTATGCTTTTCCTGTCTAAATTTCTCTTTTTTTTCCTAAAATTTCTTCTTCTCTGCTATAAGTTTCTCTGTCTCATCAATTTAAAACTATAGGAACTCCTTTTTCTATTTCTCAAACTCCTCTTATTTTTTTTCGAGCTCCTTATATTCTTCATATACTTATTCTCTGATTTGATTTATTGTCTCGAGCTATTCCTTAACTTCTGCTGGTAATTCTAGCTGAGAATAATTATCAGCTTGATTATCAGTATTTTTACTTGGACTTCTTATTAGTTCTAGATTAGGTGTTTAACCCATACCAAATAATTCAGGCTTTTTTCTATTAACTAGCATGTTGAAGAATGGCTTTAAGTTTAGCTTTTTAAATAGTGACTAACTCTTTTATAATCCCTCTACGCTTTCCATTTTTGATAATTCAGGATCATTGTACTCTGCAAAGCTTTGCTTAATTAAAAATTCCTTGTAAGCGTCAGGTAATGGGGTAGAAGTTTAAGGTAGTACAGCTTGATACTTTTCCATTTGCTATCTTCTGAATTCGAATAAGAAATTAAAGCCATTAATCCAGGCTTGTCTCTCCTAGTTCGTCTTAGCACATAAGTGATAAAACCTTTCTTTACATTTCACTTTGAAAGGAAACTAATACTTTTTATGAAAATACATGTTTGGGCCATCTGTTACAATATACTCTATTTCCTTAAATAGATGAGATTTAAATTCAGCAGTAGGCGTTTTAGCATATTTAAATATTGCAAAACTGAGATTTAGCATAAAAAACCTTCTCTGAAACTTATTTTCATTAAATAATGAATCACCACTTGCCAGCTTTTTTAAGTAGCCCTGAATAACCATCGGTCCAAACTATTCAAAGAATGAATAAAGTTGTCATTAGTATTTAAAGGCTTACATAGCTGGTTTCAAAGTCAACTCCATTTACAGTAAATTTTTATTTGGGGTTTTCGATAATAGCTGGTGGAATCAGCTCTGCGTTTACCTCTGACTGTTTTTCCTCCTCTAACTCCTAACCTTCCTTTGTCGTTTCCCCTCTTTTAGTCTAATCTTCTTCCATATAATTTTTATAAATTAGTTATAAACATAACTGCAATCTTTAATAATCTACCAATAATGCATTTACTAATTTTCCACAACAACTAAGTATGGTGGGGTTTTGGGGTTTTGGGGTTTTGGGG